ACCTACCTTCAGGTGAACCGGAAATAATTAATCAAATACCACAAAGCAGATGTTGGATCCGATTAATTTACTTCCAAATAATTGGGGGCGCGGAAATGGTGAACATCAATTGGAAAATGTGTTTTACTGATTTAATTATCTTTGCATCATTACAATAAATAAAAGTGGATAACAACAAAGAAAAACGATATTCAACCCATATAATCTTATTGCACACGAACAGTTGTCCGGAATAAATAATCATGAGAAACCGAAAGATGTTGAAACCATGTGATTTTACTCCTTGGATTCGCGTGTGAAGGAGACATTGAAACCATAGAACAGCGAAGGAATCATCTGCTTCTGTGGCCTTCAAAAAAATTACCGTCGGAAGGAATATTTTGCACACGCAAACAGGAATAAAAGTTTCGCTCGTGTTCTGTCGTTTCCAAAATGCGTGTGCAAACAACAAATTAAAGCACACGCGAAGCAGCGCGTGTTCCTCGAATTTAGTTTCATTCGGAAGAATTACAGGAGAAGGCAATGAGTTGCACCCGAATGCAGGGAAGTTTAAGTCGTGTGATGTCGTTTAGAGGCGTCCAAAGAAAACACAAAATTAACGAAATGGAAAACAACCAAAAATAGAACGAATTTAGTGTAATTAGAAGTAATTATGAAATGCCAACAAAGGAACACCAACGAAGGAAAAACATTTATTGAACGTTTAGTGTAACATCGAATAATTATAATGTAAGCATTATTGTACACACACAACAGGAAGAATATTTTACTTGTATAATGTAATTTCATATAATTATGAACAACACAATATTTTGCACACAGAAAAAAACAACTGTTTCCTACATGTAATGTCATCACAATTAATTCCAAGGTGGGTAAAATTTTGCGGAAAATAAGAAAAGAATTCTTCACACGTGTAAAGTACTTCCAATTGATTACGAAGGGAGTGATATTTCGTAATTAGAAGTGGAAAAAGTGTTTAACCCGTTTAGTGAAATTCAAGTTAATTAACAAAGGGACAATATTTAGTACACACGGAAGAGGAGCTATTTCCCCCGTTTAATGTCAATCCAATAAATTACCAACAGCAATATCTTAGGCAGTAAAGAAGGAAAAGTGTTTAACCCGCATAATTTCATTCCAATAAATTACGACGAAGAGGATATTGCTCCCCCCAAAAGGAACGAGTGTTTAACCCGATTAGTGTCATTCCAATTAATTACCAAGAAAGACACTCTTTAGAACAAAACCCAAGAACGAAGTGTTTAACCCAATTAGTGTTATTAGGAATCTTCCAATAGCAAAGGATGATCACTCCGAAGAAGGAATTAGAAACGATGTCTTCCAAAAACACTAAGGAAAAAAAGAATCCCCAACCCAGCCTCGGAGGCCTAAAGCTAACACACAAGGAATTGAGCAGTATGATGTGCATTCAAATAACCAAAGAGGGTCTTCGACTCAAGAAGCCAGAGATTCCCCCCCTTTACAATTACCCTGTATTTCCGAAAGCAGAAGCAGTCCCTGACCAGCCAACGAAACCTCTGATATCCCCCCCTAAAGTTATTGAAGATACTTCTGACGAAGAGTGGGGCATATCAGGAAAGTACTGAATCCCTCCGTTTCTTTTATGCGGAGACATTTAAAGGAAATGGTTAGTCCCATTAAGGAAGGAACGAGTCTTTCCCCGGAGTAATATTATACCAGCTCAGTAAGAAGGAGAATATAACAGGATGAGAGAAAGGGCAATATATATTCCACTAGGAATTTTAATCTATGGAGATACGGAAAGAACATTAAGTAACCTAACAAGAAGCGGAAAGATAGGATTTAGCCCTTTGCATATTTTATTTAAGTCGAGCAATATACAACCATTTAAAGGTAGGCTGATAACTAACCTCCTAAACGGAACGGCTATAAAAGAGTATATGCTGTTTTATATCTTAAAAGTCGTCATTAATATTATAGTGAGAAAATGACGTATCTTAGTACATTACATTGATGATTTGTGAGCTGTGTCTATATATTGTCCCCATGAATAAATATGATTTTATGCATGTTTTAAACAACAGAAGGAGAAACTTGTATCGTAAAAATATCTTGAGAGACCCTGAGAAAGTGAATTACTCGTAGTGACGTGATAATGATCTACTTGATGTTATAAGTTCGGCAACTATATAACCTTAATCATGGATGGTATCTGTGAGTAGGTTAAATAATGGGATGCCTAACTTTCTATCTTAGAAAAGATTCGTACTTATGGAATCTGCCTCAGCCGTGCTGACAGACGTCTATGATGGTAGGGTTTAATCTGTAAGGAAAGGTGTGTGTAATAGGGATGGTGTTTAAATATCAGTGTCTTTTAAAACAAACAAGCGGAATGCATTATGAATATCAGACTTGTCATCTGATCAGTATAAGAAATTAAAAGGTCATCATCATACAGGTGTTCGTAGGATTGGTCAAATTATTAGAGGCATCATATAATTTACTCATCCAGGCAACTCTCTGTTTGTTCATTACTATTTACTAAAGACGTAACTAGAAGAACCTTAATTAGTGTAATGATTCCGTGCCAAATAAACAATCGGAAACGTGGGGGGAGTGTAAATAAATCTCTATAAACCGGCAACTACGAGTTCTATATGGAAAGTATGTCTGGGAACAAGACAGTTAAAGACGCGTCCTAGGGATATAAATAACAAGGTAGCAACACTTACCGTAGTTCCTTGTTCTAAATTATAGAATAAAGGCAGGCAAAAACAAGGGGATGATAAATAAGGTTATTCCTGAATTAAAATCCGAGGCTGGAGATACATCTACGTGGAGGAGCCCAATAATTCACCATCCGCCTGAGTATAATGCTCCGTTACATTAGGATGATGAGGACGAGTATTACGGCAGTTAAGTATTGGCTGTAAGAGCGATCATAAATATACAATGGACTCTAAATAAAGTGTTGATTTATTGTCCACCATGCAAATATGAAGGAAGGAAAAATTATGTTATAAACCAAGTCCAGTAAACACTAGCTGCTAAGATTATTACAGGGAGGAAAATTTTGATAATATAAATTCTTTTAAAAGGTCTAAAGTGTTAACACAATAGGCAGTTGACCTCGTCGTCTGAGTACAAATATCCAGGCGTTGAAGAGATATTGAAAATATTTCAACCCTTACGGAAGCATAATTGTAAAGTGGTATTCTGTGCTGTTAGTTTTCTTCCCAGGATTTGGAAATATCAGAATATTCTGAGTAACCGAAAGGAGAAATTGCTATTAACCGTTAAAAGGAATTCGGAGCCTTTCCATGGAAGAAAACAGTGAAACGGAAGAACAAGACGCGGAATTTTCCCAGGTTTAATTTTATACCATGCACCCCAGTAACAATCAATTAACCACCAATCCAGGAAGGACAGGAGATAATGGAAGCGACAAATCACCTATCACAACATCCTTTCCCAAAATCTCCTGGTACCCAAAAGGACCCACCCCATATTTGTTTCAAAGGATTATATTCACCCGCGTCAAGACACAAAAAGGAATTAACCAACTACACGAACCCCATTATTCCATAGGGTAAAATTAATTCCGACCAATTTCCCAGCCACAAGTAATAAGTAGAAGGAGAAAAACCACTCCCGCTGTTTTGGTTAACTTTGGATGAATCCGAAGACAAGGAAGAATGGCCAAAACTCGATAAGGAAACATATTCAACTCGTCTAATCTTCTTACAGAGATTCCAACACCCCAGAAATTAGAAGCAAATGGAAGAACGAATATCCAAATCATGTAAATTTATTCCCTGCACCACCTTGCAGCCGAAATAATGAACCACCCGGGGTAGGAAGATGTGCATGGGGAATTCGTTTCATTTCAAGATGCCACCAGAAAAAGGAATATTTTCCAAACACTATCTCAGTGAAATCTATCACTGGTATAATATTGTTTAAAAAATAGACATGCAACAAAATAATTAAAAAACGCCAACGGGGAGAAAAATTCCTCTCCTTTAGTGTCATTCAAAATAGTTACCAAAAAGGGGGCAATATTGTGCACACACAGGAACAAATCGTTGTTTCACTGGCGTAATACCATTAAACAAATTCTGGGGCCAAACGGTAGTGAACGTAATACGAAAAAGAAAACCCTATAACCTCTTTAGCGTCATTTAATTTAATTACCGAACCGAAATAAGGGGAAAAAAAAGAGAAAGAAAATTTATTTCGCGGTTTTTGTAACTGGAAATAGTGAAAAAGTAACAATTAATTTACAAACAACCGAGAACAGAGGTTTCAATTCTAAGACATTCCTCCCAAAATTTAAACACGCGGTAACATTCAGAACAAAATAAGGGAAAACTGTTTCCCCAAATTGATATCATTCGAATTAATTCTCAGTGGGGAAATATTTAGCACCCCAAAAAAAGTATTTGCTTAACCGGAGGAGTGTCGTTCCAACTTTCCCAGTAAAAAAGAATAATTAATATGGAGAGAAACGAGAGAAGAATGTATTACGAGCGTTATGTAATTCCACAAGTACTCCAAACGACAAATCTCTCATACAACAGAAAGGAGCAGGGTTACACCCGCACAGTGGTAGTTCGAGTAATAGACGAACGAGCCTACCGAAGGAGAATAGGGGAACATGAGCCATTTACAATGCTCCTGGATGTAAGAACACCAGGGAATGGTCCAACTAGAAGAGGCAGGAGAGGATTTATTCCACCATGTGTGCTTTTCAAAGTATTTATCAAGAAGAAAAAAACTCGAAGAATAGTACTGGATGAAATTTCATCTAACCAAGAAGAGTCCCAGGCAGTGATTGACCATGCTGAAGAAGAAAGGAGTGACCCCATGAGTATTAATATTGCGACAGAACCAACCACAGCCTCTGACTCGATGTAAGGGAAGAGGACATGTATTAAGCTTGGTAATTTTAATCAGCAAATATCCCAAGGAGGACTTAGCTAGCATAGGAGCACCAAGGAAAATAGACACTATCCTGTTGCCTATTTTATATACATGAAACTGCCTAACTCCTCTTGAGTTGGTAATGATGAATAATATTATGAGGAGGTGGCGTATAAGAGGGTTCCTGTTCTTCTATTTTGTCCAGATCGTGAGTGAAATCATTGTTAGATGATAGTGTATATTTGTACATCACAATGATGATTTTTGACT